AGGCTATGGGGAAATGACATACCAGTTGTATCAGTAGATTATACAAAATTAAAACCTGAACAGGTGATAGAACGTGCCACTGGACATGAAGATGACAACATATGGCTCTCATGGCTGGTAGAAGCGCAAGAGAAGCCTAGCTGAGCAACTGTGTCGCCTGCGCTGCAGCCAGACCTAAACTAGTTACCTAACCGGCCCCACTGTTTCCTAAGGATGCATGGGGATATAAATGCATGCTAAATTTGACTAGACAAGAACCAGTAGAAGACTGCACCACGCTGACTGATATATACCCACCAATTCACAATAAAACACATCCAGGACCCTTTAGGCCAAACTGTATCATTAATGGGTATCATTGTTTTAACCTTACCACAAGAAACCCCACAGTGAACTATGGGGAAATCAACCATGAATGGTGCAACATCACTGAAAAGGTAGACACTAGTGATGAAGAAAAACAAACCATTGGCACGTGGGCACAAGCGGGCCTATACTATTATTGTGGTGGCCAGAGATTGTCAGTAAAAATTCCTATAAACACCATAGGACTCTGTGCTTTAGTTCGCCTTGCAGCCCCCTTACGTTAGTAGGACATCAATTAACCCAACACAAAACTAGTAGAAGACGAGACACCGACTTTTACCTTTTTGCAAACTCTAAAACCTACATCAACGCCATTGGGGTTCCACAAGGAGTCCCAGATGAGTACAAATTGGCTGACCCAGTAGCAGCAGGGTTAGAAAATCTGCCTATTATAGGAGCCATTTTTCCTGTTACAACCAACAAAAACGTAGCCAGAATAACTTTTGTCCATTATAATGTTTTGCGCCTAACCAACCTAACTCGTGATGCCATTGAAGGCCTGTCTGACCAACTACGTCCCACTTCTAAAATGGCGATTCAAAATAGGATGGCTCTGGACATGTTATTAGCAGAGAAGGGAGGCACGTGCTCCATGATTGGTGAACAATGTTGTACCTTTATACCAAATAATATAGCACCAGATGGTAAAGTAGCCAGAGCCCTAAAAGGTCTGAAAGACTTATCTCAAGAAATGCAGGATGCCTCTGGGATTAATAATCCAATTTCTGATTGGTTCAACAAAATGTTTGGCCGGTGGAAGGGCATAATCATGTACCTGATTATCTCTATAGGAGTTTGTTTAGCCATTCTAATAATGTGGTTTCTATTATATACCTTGTATTCGCTCATTGTCCACACATCTGATCTCGACTGCTGCCCTCACTCCTGAACGCCTGGCAGAAACCTATGCCCTGTTACATAACAATGTCAATCCTGACTCCAATAAGTGTAAACTACCCACTCTACTGTTTTTGTCCTGACCAACAAGATGTAAATATTTTGTTTTATTATGTTTTTGCTTTTCACAATTTTGTCTTTTTTTAATGATTTCTTTTTCTTTTTGCTTGTTCTCATTTACAGGTGTCTGTCCCCCACAAAAACAGCCTTAGCAAATTTCTAACTGATGTTTATGATAGCCATATGTTAAACCACTCCGTATGACAGATGTGCCTTGAAGGTTCTGTTAATCAGTGTCTATATCTCTATCTGTACATATTTGTGTTATTGTTGTTCCTATAGGAACAAAAGGGAGGAATTGTGGAAATGAAAACATTGATACCAGTTTATTTTGTTCATCAATTTTATTTTCATCACTTTTATTATTAATTTACTTTATATCACACTCTGTTGAAGCTTATCTAAACTGTAGCAGTTACATCAGTGTGTGAAACCTTTTTCTTCTGAGTCTCACAAGCCTGTCGGCACGGAACCCAGCTCCAGAACCGGTCACACGGACCACAAACGTATTGTCTGTTTTTACCCTGATAAGATTGACACTGACCACAAACGTACTGTCTGTTTTTACCCTGATAAGATTGCAAATGAGGTTAACGCCTGTTGTGTCAAAGCAAGTTCTGTTACGTGTGAAGGTGTGTATAAATGAAGCCGTATTGCTCATGTTTTTTCAGAACTCACAGAACTCATTGCTGCGTGCTGCTCATGTGATGTTCTCATTCTGCAGAAGAAACAAATAAAACTTCGCTTTTTATTTTTGTTGAAGTTCTCAGTCTCAAATTTATTGAACAATAGGTTTAATAAACTCCACACTTGGACCTTGGAAATTCAAGAAAACCATGGCTGGTTGAATGCGTAGAAAATACTGAGGTGGAAATATTGAGAATATGCCGCAGTGGGTGGTGCCAATGTGTTTATCATTTTAAATATAAGTAGTAATAAATGAATACATGAATATCTAGTAATCAATTTAAAAGTGGAAAGGGAGACAGTGACACAATTCAAACACTGAAATTATATGTCCATGCATTTCATTGAGTTGTACAGACAAAAGTAGCTGGACACATCTAAACATTGTTGTATTCGAATACATAAATCTATAGTTGGTCTTTCTTTCATACAGCTTTATCTTCCATGATTCTTGGAAGGCTTTCCATAAGACTGGGAAGTGTGAGAATTCATGCCCTTTTATTCTGTAGGGCATTTATGAGGTCAGGTACTAATGTTGCATGATAATTCTCATCGTCTTTGTTCCAGACCATCGCAAAGTCTCTTATGGGGTTGAGTTCAGGTTTTTATAGTTTCATAGTTCTTGCTATGTGCACTGGGATATAGTCATGGTGGAATAGAAAAGTCTCCAAAGTGTTGATACAACCTTAAAAGCACAACAGAGTCTGAAATACCATGATATGCTGCCACATCAAGAATGACCATCATTGAAGATGAGGGGTCCTGATATTTAAAATGGACCCATACTATTATCCATTCTTCATCAAACTCTATAGGTGACTGAGTGCAGGCAGGCAGGTTGACAAAAACCCAAACTCACCTAACAGGCCTCCAGAGAATTACAATTTGTCTCTTTGAAGAACAAACCTTCACTGCTCTACAGCCCAGTGTCAGTATGCCTTACCACTCTATCCAACACAGCACAGGATTTGAAAACTACTGTATAAAAAGTGTCTCAGTGAAGTCAGAGACATTCATTAGTCATTCGCATCTCATGTGGTACATGTGGTAGAACGAGATTATGTATGCAGGGTCCCAATTACATCCAACAATAAAATGTAAAAGAAAAACAGTAATACGATCTAAGATATGAACTAAGAAAAACATCAGCTAAATATACACTAAGCATTAATAGCATAAAAACATTACGTCATACAGCAGCACAAACATGAGTCTGTGTGAGCAGATGAGTATGAATGAACACCTCAACATGAAACAGATCAGCAGCAACATGAAACAGATCAGCAGCAACATGATGTGATTTTTCACAGTGATTATTCTGGTTAGAGATTCATGAGTCTAACAGCCTCAGGGTAGAAGCTGTTCCTCAGTCTAGTGGTTCTACACTTAATGTTCCTCAACCTCCTTCCTGAGGAGTAGGACAAAAGTGTGTGTGCTGGGTGAGTGGGGTCCTTCATGATGCAGGTAGCCCTCTTCCTGCATCTGGAGGTGTAGATGTCTGTGATGGTGGGGAGGCTGACTCCAACATCTTCTGTGCAGCCTTCACCACTCTCTGCAAAGCTTTTCTTTCTGCAGCTGTGCAGCCTCCATGCCACACAATGATGCTGGAACAGAGGATGCTCTCCACTGCACACCTGTAGAAGAAGGTGAGGACTGAGCTTCCCAGACCAGCTCATCTCAGCCGCCTGTGGAAGCAGAGTCTCTGATTAGATTTCTTGATCAGGCTGGTGGTGTTGTTGCTCCAGCTGAGGTTGTGGTTCTGGTGTACACCCAAGTACTCGTAGCTGGAGACCACTTCCATCGTAGATCCTCTTATGTTCAAGGGGGTGTAGGTGTGTTTGTTCCTTCTGAAGTCCACAATCATCTAATTTTTGTCTTTTTCACATTGATCTGAAGGTTATTCTTTTTGCACCAGCTCTCCAGGTGTTCCACCTCCTGCCTGTAGCTGGACTAATTGTTTGAGATGCATCCCACCACCACTGTATCATCTGCAAACTTTACAATATGACATACGTGAGCAGAGTGAACAGGAGAGGGCTCAGCACACATCCCTGAGGGGAGACAGTGCTGAGGGTTATGGTGGAGGAGGAGAAGTTATGGATCCTCACTGATTGCAGTCTGTTTGCTAAGAAATCTATGACCCAGTTACAAATGGAGGGGCTTAGTCCTAGTGTGAGTAATTTGTCCATCAGGGTTTGGGGGATCATGTTGTTGAAACAGATGTGAAGTCCACAAAGAGCATATGAATGAAAGAGTCATTCTGCTCCAGGTGGGTGAGAACAGAGAGAAGCTCCTTTTGCTCATCAATGCCAGGGTATGTTTGAAAGTCTTCAGTTATGAAATCAGCAGAGTGGCAGCAACTTTTATACAACATGCACTTTAGAAGTAGTTGACCCCACTTTGGAATTTTTAAACAGACTTACATGGTATGTGGTTAAGTTGTTGTTGCTGCAAATTGCTTCTGCCTGTCTTATGGCAAAGGTGAGGTTCTATCACAGTGCCATGTTTGGAGTCATTGAGCTCCTATGACTTAAACCATCAGATGTTTGCAAATGGTGACTGCACAGCACAGTGTTTGAATGTATACACCTGTAATTATGGGTCTGTCTGAAATACCTGAATCCAACACTAAAAGATGTGTCCAAAAACCTTAGTATATACACATAAACATGTTTGGGGGTGAATAAATATCAGGATCAGTACATATTGAATGTGGTTTAGTGCAGCTTGATATTTTTAACTTTTGTTTAACAGAAATGTGTTTTCGGCATACCCAAATAAATTGAGTATTTTCTGGAAATTATAAACAAAGTAGCATGAATGAAATGTTATTTATATTAGTTTTACAACTGGTTTGTATGTAACTAAAGTATATAAAACTATTAGGTACTGTATTTGTGAAAAAAATAATAAGTTAGGTTTTTAAATACTGAGTTTTTATTGTAGAACTTTCCACAAACAGAAAAATAACCTAAAAATAATACTCCTACCACAGTCTGGTGATTAACTTGAATGACTTCATCCCCTGCATGGATCTTCTTACAGCGGTCTGCCGGAGACTAAAAGCACACCGAGACAGAGGGAGCAAACAGAGGAGGATGAATCCATTTGAGCCTATTGATCCCTGTCTGACACTTTTTGGGAAGTTTCTCAACAACCCGTACTTCAACAATCATCTACATAGCAGAGAACCCAGCAGTCATCCATATAGAACATGAGTCTGTAATGAAAATATATGATGTTAGTTTGCGGAGATTCTAAGTAGAAATTTATTTATTTATTTTGTAACCCCAGGATTTAGTATAAAAAAAATACTGAAAGACTCCTACCCCTTCAGTGGTTCCTGTGATCACATGGAGACCATCATAGGTTGACTTGATATACATCCCCTAAAGGACAAACACAGAAAAGAAAGTATAAAATAATTAATCACATTTTTGTAGAGCTATGTTTTGTTTTGCATTTTTAAATATAAAAATACACTTAGAATTGGCAATGTTGCACTAAGCTCAAACCAGACGGAGTTGAATGTTTCTCACTGTCCGGGTCTTGCTAAGTGTTGTTTTGTGATCATAATAAAATTAATAGTGTAATCAGGATATCATCTCTACATTGCCACAGTTCAAATATCATTTTATTTGCACTACAAATATCAGCTCAAGACACAATAATCAAGCAAAGACTTTCTTTGCAAAGTCAAAGCAAAGACACATCAAGCAAAGACTTTCTGTGGTCTGAAGTGTAGACGGTTCTTTTCTTCTTCAGTTGTAATTTCTTTGAAGCTGTTCGGCTTTGATCAGATGTGTCCTCAACTCAACTCTTCTCTGAGCTGAAGTGGCTACAAATGTTTGAAGAACTTGTCCTCGGCAGGATTAATGTCTTCGGAGCCAGTTTCTGTCAGAGTCAGACATTAGTTTCTTTGAAGTGTGCTTTGTTTTCATAAAAAGATGGTGGACTGTTGTTTCACTCTTACTGTTATGGCTAAAGTTGAACTAGTCAAGTGCCAGGTAAAGCTGAAGAAACTTCATCACTTAAGATGAAACATTGAGCCCCTCCCCCAACAAAAACAAATTATTACTGCATGCAGGAAAAAGAAACAAACAGGTATTTAGGAATTACTGTTCAAAGTATAAATGTACTCAAATAATTTGATTTTTAACAAACAAAAGACCCACAAACGTGGCAGCAATAGTTCAAATGGACCAACAGAGAATATTACCAGGCCTTCAGATGATTTGACGTTGGTGAGGTGGACCAGCTCAAGGTGGGCAGACTGGGAAACCAACGGGTCCGAGGACACGCACACAATGTGCTCGCATACCTCTGACAGAGTCTTACACTACCGAGAAAGAAAACATTGAGAGGAGACAATAGATGTATTTATTAGCTGAGAACAACCTGTACTTTGTATTTGTCAAATTTATATCTTATCACGTTTCCAAAGTGCTGGTTTTGCTTTTCTTTTGGACTTCTTGCATGGGTGTGGGGGTGGGGGTGGGGGTGGGGCGTAATTTCCTTTCAAAGCATTTTTATTTTTTATTTTTTGGAAATCAAATTGTGTCTCAGATGGGAAGGCACACAGCAGGCTTGCCAGCAATTGTAATTTTTTGCTGTGTGTGTTGGGGGTGGTGGTGGTGGTGGGGGGGGGGGGCGTTTGTACTCCTGCAGCAGTACAAATAAACTTCATAACACAGATAGTACATCCAATATGTCTGACAGTTACAACTCAGCCACCACAAAATTAAACACAGTTTTGGGTTTTCTTTCACAACTATTGTTAAAATAACGGTATCACCTCTTCATAAAATAGAAGTAAACTTAATTTCAGCCTTCATGGCACTGGAAATTAGTTCTTGATAAAAAGTGAAACACTTTCTGGGCAGGCACAACAGAAGGGCTACAGTTTTAAGAAATTATCTCCCTGGAAAATAAAAGTTTGAATAAAGACTGCTGACTCTGTGGAGTCAAGTTTCAAAACTTTGTAAAGATAATTTTCTGACATTAAACCCACAGCAACCTATTAACACTAGAACTCCCAGCATTTTCAAATGACTCTTTCTTCTACCAGACTGCCAAATGGCAGTTGGAGTAATTTGCATCCCATTAGACCATCTTTTGTTGTGTACACGTAATGCTGTCCCAGGCAAATGCTAAATGGGGGGGGGGGAGGGGGGGGGGGGGGGGGGTGATAGTGTGAACAATGTTGATACTCAGATGGAGAGGAAAAAAACCCTTGATTGTATCCACCTCAAGGTGGATAAAAAGTCACATCACAACATATATTTCACTTTGTTAGCTGAGAAGCAAAGATGGCGAAGGTTTACCATGCACAGCAGGCTTTGGATATGATTCTGAACCATGTCAACCCCTGTGACTCCGAGGGAGAAGAAATAACCCTTGAGCTGTGTTCTGACTCTGAAATTTATTCTGGTAAGATTTCCTAAAGTTCCTAATTTCCTATATTTCTTTGCCAGTTATGACTATTGTGGTTTTGAAGAGACACACTGAAAGAAGTACCATCTTGATAAGTTAAAATTGCTCAAGAATATGTATTTTGACCTAAAACAAGACAAATGTCTTGATAAGATGTTTTTACTTAGGGTTTTAGGAATGTTTTAGTTAAAAAATTATTTTTTTCAAGTAGCTGAGGGTTTTTTGTATAAATTCATGTAAAAACATCTTTAGCTACTGGCAATTTTTTTAAAAGACAAAATTACTTTAAAAGGGTTTTAAAAAATCAGAGCTATTTTGACTAAACAATATGCCACATTTTTTTCATTCATTTAGTTTATTCATTAATTTTCACTTCATCTAACATTAAACGTTTAGAAAGCACTTACCTACTCATTTTAGATTTTCCAGACGTAGATGTTGTTAGAGACATCTTTAAAACTATATTTATTGCTCTAAATTCAACAAATAAACTATAAATCACTGCTAATATATGAGCTATATATATATATATATATATATATAATGAAGTTCTCTGAAATACTTATTTATCTAAGCAATAAATGCATAAAATTATGGAAAAGACAATGTGATTTATGACAGAAGAATCTTTGATAATGACACATCTGAGGTCATAGATTCCTCAGTGTATCTAATTGTGGTCTGTTGATAGGTATAATCAATATCACCCTAACCATAAAATTGCCTAATCCAAATAATGTCATAGGGTTTGTTTTACATCATTCTGTTTTGGATTATAATGGAAAATAAGTTGTCTAAACTATAAAACGCAAAGGTGCGCCTACTCTTCAGCTGTTCTGTGGCTTTCATATTATGAATCACATCAAGATTTCAGGGATAAATTTATTGTATAGTGTGTAGTGTATTTCCATCTTCAAACAACTTATATTTCTTTGACTGATCTCCCACATGGTTCCTAACATGAAAGTTAAGTTCTAGACT